AAGCCTCCAATTTGTCAGTATCAATAAAAGCAACACTGAAAAAGTAATAGCATGCTCAATAGTGATATGTGTTAGTAAATTACGCTTTGAAATCGATGTTGCTGAACTGATGTTACTATGCTGAATATTAAGTACTTGACGTGTATTGTTCGTGTTACTTTTTCAAAAATCTCAAACTTGTACTTCAACTTCAACCTTCATCTCTTTCAAATTAGGCTTAAATCTTGAAAGTCAATTATTTAAATGTATGAAAAATAAAATAATGACTAAGAATTTGAATTTGAAGTATTATGAAAAGTTTGTAATTGACTAATTTTCTCCAACTAATTTAGCTAAAGACAAATCATCTAAAAAAATAATAATATTTAAATATAAAAAATAGTAACANTACTTGACGTGTATTGTTCGTGTTACTTTTTCAAAAATCTCAAACTTGTACTTCAATTTCAACCTTCATCTCTTTCAAATTAGGCTTAAATCTTGAAAGTCAATTATTTAAATGTATGAAAAACAAAATAATGACTAAGAATTTGAATTTGAAGTATTATGAAAAGTTTGTAATTGACTAATTTTCTCCAACTAATTTGGCTAAAGACAAATCATCTAAAAAAATAATAATATTTAAATATAAAAAATAGTAAGATTTAAACATTACCAGCAATTTAGGATTATTGGTTACTAAACTTGACAGAAGCAAAGAACAGCAAGAAAAAGACTCCAAGAAATCTGGAATCATGTCATCATGGCATGTCCCAGACCAGCTCACCGGAATTTCAAATGGTACTCTGAAATCTTTTCATGGGTTCACCGTGTAATTGTCTTAAGAGTCCTGTAATTGTCCTAAGAGTCCGAGGTCTTTATGCGGTATCTTCCCTTTAGACAGAGTAATCCACACAGNACTAAACTTGACAGAAGCAAAGAACAGCAAGAAAAAGACTCCAAGAAATCTGGAATCATGTCATCATGGCATGTCCCAGACCAGCTCACCGGAATTTCAGATGGTACTCTGAAATCTTTTCATGGGTTCACCGTGTAATTGTCTTAAGAGTCCTGTAATTGTCCTAAGAGTCCCAGGTCTTTATGCGGGTATCTTCCCTTTAGACAGAGTAATCCACACGGCCATGGTCGAAGGGATCTGGAGCTTCAGCAGATAAAATGATTTAAATGAGTTGATTTAGTAGTCGAACAATGATCGAAAATAAGTCTACATGTGTTGAATTCGAGTTTATATAGTTACATAAAATTCGAGTTTAACTGATACGAGCAATTAACGAGTGAATGTATGTATTTTAAATTTAAATCATAAGAATTTGAAAAGTGNTCCACACGGCCATGGTCGAAGGGATCTGGAGCTTCAGCAGATAAAATGATTTAAATGAGTTGATTTAGTAGTCGAACAATGATCGAAAATAAGTCTACATGTGTTGAATTCGAGTTTATATAGTTACATAAAATTCGAATTTAACTGATACGAGCAATTAACGGGTGAATGTATGTATTTTAAATTTAAATCATACGAATATGAAAAGCGTGTATTTGCCATAATTCTGATTTAAAAGGGCACCAACAAGGCCCTACGAGAGGTGACAATCTTACAATAATTGGTGTCGGAGAGGGTCCATTGGTATGGGAATGAGTTCCAACTTGTGAGGTATTGGCCATTGGGTCATATGTCTCTGTTCATATTAGGCTGTAGCTGTCCCCAAACTTGGTCCTTAGTTCCCTACTTTCATTTCCTCCATCATTGCAGTTGGTAAAATGTCCCAATCAAATGCTTACATATCGTATACCTGGACACAACCCTTTGCAAGCATGTTTGGTTTACCCGGTTTACCTTATTTGCGTAGTTTAAAAGACATTGCGGACATCTAGGGTAGAAAGTATCATCTTTCGTCTAAAAAGCAAATAGTTAATAGAGTTCTCTGTTATCCCAAAAAAGAAAACTATAGAAGGAATAAAAAAAACTTATCTAATGAAATTTTCTACTAACATGGCTCACTCTAGATCAAGAGCTTTTAAGAAAAATAGTTCGGCCAGCTGGAATATCAGATCATTAGAGGTAATCCGTATTTGAAGTTATGATACAATGTGAATGATTTTAAAAGAGATGTTAATGGTTGTTAGATAAATTTATTTGAGACCGTCGGATAAGTTTATTGATATTTGTCCTATTTTATATAATAAATAGATCACTCTCCCCCCCCCCTCCTCCCCCACCTACAAAAAAAAATCAAAAATGTCTAATATTAACACAACTCATTTATTATTATGTTAATATACATTGTGTAGTTTTTGAATTTATATCATATAGTGGTAATATGTACAATATATACATCCCTAGCTAAAAAAAATGATAAATTGGAGAACTTTAGTTGCTTATATCCATAATCTTGATTATATATATGTGTGTGTTTTGTCTATAGGTACACAATTTCTTATTGGAGGAGGGAGAATAATTTTTTTTTTTTATAAAAATTGTCACGTATCATATATGTTTGTGTTTTTTGTTGTAGGAGTAGATGAGGTAGCAATATTAGATTGGACACGTGTCCAATATTTATCAATAGTGTGACTAGGGTTCTTTAAAATTAAAAAAAAATTGAAAAAGAGATTATTAGTATTGTGGCTTGGAGTGAGTATAGGTCTTCAACTTAAGCAAGTGAATAACATGTTGTTATATATATATATATACTAGTTATTGTCTGTGCCTGAAAGAACAGAGTAATAAAAAATGGTAAACAATAAATATATTTGTATTTATATCGAAAATCAAATTATAAATATAAAGAAGAGATAAAAAAATTTAAGCATTAATTTTGTTGTGGGGGTGAGAGGTGGTGGGGCGACAGTAGTAATGATAGAAGACGGTGATGGTTGTAGTGGGTGGAATTGATCGTGGTGGCGGTGAGAACGGCGGTGGCTGTGTTGGTGGTGGTGATGACGACGGAGACAACAATGGTGGTGGTGGTGGTAGCGGCCGCAACAACAGTGGTGGTGACGGTGGCGATGATTGCGGCGGCGGCGACGGCAGCAATAACGGCGGCGACAGTGGTGGCGGCGACGGTAGTGGCGATGGTGGGGTGGTGGTGGTAGAGGTAGTGGTAGTGGTGGAACGGTTTCAAACACTATTTTCTTTTTAATGTATTTATGACAAATAATTTATAGAAGTATTTTTAAAAAGTCATTCCAAACATACCCTTAAAAACCTATTTTTTTCATTAAATTTAGGGTGTTAATATTAGTCGTTAGATTAACTTTAAAGTAAAATTTAAAACGATCTTAACCGCGAATAACAAAAGTCATTTTGTTTATCTTTTTGATATTTGAATTATGAGCTACTTTATTATATAGATATAAATAATTTGTCGTATATTTAATGAGAGTTTGAACTCATGTTTAATCTCAATTACAATCTCGAGGTCAGTCCAATCCGGATCAGATAAGTTGAGAGTTAACATGAGTTTGCATCTGAACAAAAAAAAAATCCACACATTACATGTTTTTCACATGTAGATTTCCAAGAAAATCATTGGTTATGATACATAAGAGCTACAATACTCTTTCATGCTAAAACTTTAGAAGCATCAAGCATCTCAAGAGAAAACTTCAATTTTAATAATCGAGTCGAACTATTTGGAGTTTAATTTGTTTTAGGTTCGATTCAAATGAGCCAAGTTTTAAAAAAAAAATTAGGCTCTTTTAAAAAAAATGAGCACGACGGACTCAATAATAACTCACAAAATTTAGTTTGATTATCAATCTTATGTGGAGACACAGCTGGCTAGTTTTTATTGTTTGGCTGGTTGCATTTTCATTGCGGTGGATTGGACACATCAAAGCAGGTCACAATCTTCATCAACAAACGTGATAAATTCTCTCAGCTGCATGATTTTAAATCTGGGGATTGCCCCAAGTAAGTCGGTACTGCTCTTTATGGTGATCATGGATGTCTAACTAAAATTGACATGTAATTGGCAAAGTTTGGCATTAGTGTGTCTAAAGCATCTTTCCATCACTTTGACATAGCAGCACTTTTGTCATTGCCACCAAACCATGTTAGGCAAATGATAAAAGCTTCTCCTTTAGCATGGTAAAAGGTTGGGACATCAATTATTGACTCAGAGAGTTCTAAAATACACCGATAACAACGCCATAAAAACGATATCGGATAATATGATTTAAAAGAAAAAGTTAGACTTACTTAGATATTCAAGTTATATTATGGTGTTGCGTAATAATATAATATAATCTAAATAAGTGATGATAACTCGACGATTCAAAATTGACCCGTCTTAAATGATTCAGTTGAATCTTATAAAATTCGAGATATATAGATAACATAAAACGATATCATTTTGAAAGGTATTGATATCGAGGACATTCCCCTCATTATTATTTAGATTTGATACATTAAGTTAATTTCTCCACCTAATAGACTAAAACTATCATTATCAATAACTTTTCTACAAATAGACAAACTAATCATAATTACAACAATCATTAATTTAATCTCATCGTTGACTAATTTAGTAAGACAATCTAATGGTCAGTATTGGGTGAAGTAGACGTGCACGTGAGGAGGGGAGAAGTGAAGCTCCTGGCATCAACCCGCTGGATCCTCCGAGAAAAACTCACTTCTTTTCAACTCCCGAGGTGTCTGTCCTCTGGTGTCTCTCTTCTCTCTTTCTTTCTCTCTCCAGTCAATGGTGGTGGTGCCCAAAGTACGCCAGTGGGTACAGTACGCACCAACAACAACCTGCACAATCGAAGAAGATCACACCAGCTTTCCCCTCTTTCTCTCTCTCTCTCTGTCTCTTCTCTATACATTTCACTTTCGAAGTCTCTCACAATTCAAATTTGGAGAACTAACCAACTGAACTGATAGTGTAGGCTAGGGTTATTTGAGCTCCGGCAAAGCTATAAAAAAAAAAAAAATGCGAGTGTGATGAGAAATTGGGATCCAGATTTGAATTCGGGTTTGGATCGGGTCGCCTGGTGAGATGGATCCGCCGGCAATGATGAACCACGGTGGATTTCAGGCAGCGAATGTGGCGGAGATCTGGCCATTTCCTATCAACGGCGAAGGTGCGAATGGTGATGAATCTGGAGGTGGTTTGGGCTTGAGGAGAGTTCAATTTTCGCAGAGTTTTGGAGATGCGAGTGGGAATCGAGATGTTTCGGTGGGTGATCCCATGGTTTTGGACCAGAGAACGAATACGAACGGTGGCGGAGCGAGGAAGAGGCGAGAGGAGGAGGAGTCTGCTAAAGGTGTTTCAACCAGTAGTGGCAATGGCATGGTAATTCATTCTATATAATCTTAAAGTTACTACTAATACTGTAATTAATGTATGCATGTATAGTGACTTACATTTCTGTATGTTGGTTGAATTGTTCCTTAAATCTGTTTCTATTATTTGTTCCACATCGAAGTAGCTTGGATGAAATTCAATTGGAAAAGTTGAATTGTGTTTATTATTTGAGAAATAATTTGTTCTATTATTTGATGTCTCAGTTAATTTTGACCTGTTTTTTTTTTTCTAGGATTCAGATGTAAATGAATACAATTGATATGGTTGAGTTGGGTGAGAGAGTTTCATGGTTCACAAATGCATATCAATAGGAAGTGAGTTTTTTCATTTAGTTTTGCTTTTTGAGCAGAATGATTTTGACATGAAACGACTTAAGACATCTGGATCTAGAGATGAAAATCATGAATCCAAAGCTGAAGTTGAAGCAAAACCAGGCAAGGCTGCAGGGCAAAATGCAAAGCCAGCTGACCCACCTAAGCAAGATTACATCCACGTGCGAGCAAGAAGGGGTCAAGCTACTGATAGCCACAGTCTTGCAGAAAGGGTAACTTACTCCAATCCTCTTCCATCTTCATTCTTTTTATTTTTTTATTTTTTTTCTTCCCTCTTCCATATTCTTAAAACCCAATTATAATTTTATATCTTTAGACATCCTCAGAAAGGTTTTCTCTTATAATTATTAGTGTGTTGAGAATTGATGTCTAAATAATGTCTAAAATCTAGAATTTTGAACATTTTTCGTTATTGGATGCATTTGGTGGACAGGCTAGGAGGGAAAAGATAAGTGAGAGGATGAAAATTCTCCAAGATCTGGTCCCTGGTTGTACTAAGGTGCAGTATTGGCAATTTGCTAACTTATCATCGTCATCATCTTGTTATGCATTAATTCCGGTTTTTTATATGAAAAAGCTTTTAGTAAAGTTGGAATGTGTTCTTTATTTGTGGTTTTTCTAGTTATTTGACCATTTACAAGAATGACTAATGTTCTTTTAAACCCTGCTGAGATAAAAGTTCTAATGAGATGATTGAAACCAATCAGTCTGCTAAACATAAGATTGGTTCCCAATCATGAAATTGGAGAGGATAAAATGCAAACAGCTGAATCTTGTTGCTGGGGCAAGTCGAGAAGAATCCTTAGCAAGAATTAAAAAATATTGGATCAGATTGTGTCTGTGCCTTTGCAGAGCACACTGTAGTATATGATTTTCTTTGAAGAGGAAAAAAAATCCAAATAAGTTACGCGATGTATGATTTCTTCTTCTTAGAATTCTGGGAAAGGCCCTGCAGAAAAAAGGGAAAGGTGGGGGGGGGGGGGGGGGGGG